TCCCTTCCTAACAAGATATTTGACCCAACAGAAGAGAATACAGTATAACTCAGGGTTGAACTGTGGAGTCCTCAATGCTCTCTGAGCTTGGTTGTTTTCTTGCAGATGTTTCATTACCTGACTAGGTAACCTCATCAGTGCTAGCTTTCTTTTGCTAGAAGAGACTGGGTTTTGCTCTCTATTTATATACAAGTAAGGTGGCTCAGTAGCTAAGATGCTGAGCTTGTCGATCAGAAAGGTCAGCAATTCGGCGGTTCGAATCCCTAGCATTGCATAACAGAGTGAGCTCCCATTACTTGTCCCAGCTTCTGCCAACCTAGCAGTTCCAAAGCATGTAAAAATGCAAGTAGAAAATGAGGGACCATCTTTGGTGGGAAGGTAACTGCGTTCTGTGCACCTTAGGCATTTAGTCATGCCAACCACATGACCACAGAGACATCTTCAGACAGTGCTGGCTCTTCGGCTTCGAAACAGAGATGAACACCGCCCCCTAGAGTCAGGAACGACTAGCACATATGTGCGAGAGGAAAGCTTTACCTTAACCTATATACAAGTGACTTGCTCTGTTAAGAGTTGATGGGAGCATTCTTGGTGGTTCCTACTAGGTTATGATCTTATTTAATTGGGTAATTAAATGTCTGTAAGAAAACAACCAAGCTCAGAGAGCACCAAGGATCCTATGTGTGTCCCAATTTGCCTATTTGTTCAAAGTACCAGGAGGATTCAGATGGAGATGGGTCTGTGGGGGACAAGAGCTAAAAAAAAAATCAAGATGGCAGCTACAACCATGGGATTGAAGCCCTGTGTCCCTTTTACATGCACATCACTTGCAACTATTATGTAAATAAATATTTAGCTTCACACAAGTGCAAAGGGGGATTGTGGGTGGTGATGAAAAATGTCAAGATTACAGCCGCATCAATACAAATAGAGTCTGAAATGTGAATTCTGAAATGTGTTGCATGTGCAATGAGTGTAAAAAAAAAGGAGGGGCTTTAATCACAGCATTGTGGATATATCCTTCCAGAGGAATCTAACCATCGTTAACTCTAATCAAAATTAACATATTTTTCAGTGGCCAACTTTAGCTAACTCAACTGAGGTAGTTTGCATTCTCAAGAACCATCAAAACATTTGCTCCAGCAGAACGTTCAGCTTCAGGAAAGTGTTCAACTAACCAAACCACTTGGGTTCTTACCACACAACCAACCCTAACTCAGAGGAAAAACTAACCAAGTTAAGCCTAAACAATTGTAGCATGTTTAGTAGCCACAGCCAAACAAATGAAATAGGACAGCTTTGTGAAATGCCATCTCAGACAGGAACTGTTTTGATGTGGGATCCAGAACCAAAATGCCAAACACAGGAAAAGACCAAATCCCTTCTTCTCCTTTTCAAGGATGTTGGCCCCACAGTTCTGCTCAAGGAGGGCAACAGGACCAAAGAGAGAACTCCACAGATCCAAATGGCATTTGGCCTAACACTATGGTGGCGAACCTATGGCATGCATGCCAGAGAGGGCACTCAGAACCCTCTGTGTGGGCATGCGTGCCATCACCAGCTGCTCTTCTGGTTTCCGGTGTGCACATGTGCATCAGCCAGCTGGTCTTCATGGGTGCTGGAGCTCCAGAAAATGGCCTGAAAACAGCCTGGGAAGTGGCAAAAATGTCCCCAAAATAGGCTGTTTTTGGGGTGTTTTCCAGGGCATTTGGGGGGGGCATGTTTTGGGCCACAACTGGCCTGAAAATAGCCCGGAAAAAAGGCCAAAAACCAGGCATGTGTGCACTGGCCAGCTGATCTTTAGGTTTCTTGTGTCCTGGTGTGCACAAAGACCAACTGGCGGGTGTGCATGCACATGCCAGAAACCCGAAGGCACTCTGGTGCATGCACATGACATACATGTGTTCTGCTTTCAGCACTTGATGTCGAAAAGGTTCGCCATCACTGACCTAACAGATGCAGCAATGGTTTGGCCAAGAATTTGACTTCAATGGGAGAGCTTCTTTTCCCCCCCACCCAAGCAGAAAATGTTATTTCTGACCTCACTCTTAAAATTTCTTTGCTAATCATTTTCCAGGTGCCTAAGCTGAACATGAATTACAATCCCTCAGTCCCAACCATTGTCTCTATCCCACTCAGCTTCAAGCATGCATTGTATGGCACTTCGGGCTCATGTCTTGATCAGGGGCATCCACCAGGTGTGATCATAAAAGGTGGCCACAATAGTAAAATCAAAG